AAAAGAAGGGTGGAGATTTAGTCGGTTGGATGCAAGACAAGCTCAACCCACCAAAAATGCATCTTCCTGGGTATCAATACTGTGGACCTTTTACGAAGCTTTCTAAAAGATTGACTAGGGGGGATCCAGGAGTCAACAGAGTAGATAAAGCATGCAAGAAGCATGACATATCATACAGTCAAACAAAAGACACCAAACAGAGACATGTTGCAGATGAAGAGCTTTTAAAGGATTTAGCCGCCATTGAAAACCCAAACAGTGGTTTTTATCCACTCGGGGAAAAACAAGCAAGGGCTGTTATCCGACCTATCATAAAAGCAAAAAGAGTTTTTGGACTAGGTGCTATTGTGACATATTGCTTGGCCTGTAAAAAGAAGACAGGTACGCTAAAGGCTGAAAATTCGGTAACAAGCAACGGAAGGCCTATTATGAAAGGTATGTGTGAAGAGTGTGGATCAAAGAAAAGCTCTTTTTTAAAGTTGACGGGGTAGCTCAGAACACCCCTAGACTGAGAGACGTGTACTATGATCCTGAAACTGGATATTGCGGCATCAAGGAGCTTCAGAGGAAGACTCGTGTTCCCAGAAAGGACGTCGAAGAGTTCTTACACCAGCAAGATGTTTACACCAAACACAAAACCACTTATCCGTAAATTTAATAGAAGGAGAACTTACGTATCACACATTGACGACCAATGGCAGGCAGACTTGTTATTCTTAAAGCCACTATCAAGTGCTAATGATGGCAACATCTACTTACTAACAGTGATAGACATTTTTAGCAAATATGGTTGGGCTATACCAGTTCGCAGAAAAAACGGGAGAAGAAAAGAGTCACTATGGCGTTTAAAAAGATCTTTAAGGAAAGAATTCCTCAAAAAATTCAGACAGACAAGGGTACCGAGTTCATTCATTAACAAAGAGACGCAGCGACTGTTTAAAGAGAATAATATTCACTGGTTACTACTGAAAACGTCGAAATCAAGTGTTCCATAGTGGAACGGTTCAACAGAACTTTAAACGGCAAAATCAGAAAATATTTAGCAGCTAACAATACAAAAAGATACATAGATGCATTGGATCAATTAGTGAAGAATTACAACAACTCATACCACAGAAGTATCAGAATGACACCTGCTGAAGCCAGTCTAGAAGAAAACAGTGGTGAAGTCTACCACAATTTGTTTAAAGAAAAGGTCATACGTAAACCTAAATACCAGGTAGGAGATAAAGTAAGAATATCAATATATAAGTCTACCTTCAGAAGGGGTTATCAAGCAACTTTTACAGAAGAAATATTCGTCATTTCTGAAGTGTTAGAAACCGACCCAATCACTTATAGAGTTAAGGATTTAAATAATGATGAAGTTTAAAGGCACTTTTTATGAAATGAACTAGTAAAGTATGATAAGAAAGACGATGTGTATATATGATCGAAAAAGTCATCAAAAAGAAAGGGAACAAGTATCTAGTAAAATGGTTAGGTTATCCTGAGACCAGCTGGATTGATAAGAAAGATTTAGTTTATTTTTAATAGCTGACAAAGGCTATTAAAAATTATCGTTCACTTATTGGGGAAAAACTCCAGTTTAATGTTTCGAAGATAGTTCTGCAGATTTCTTCATTCTGAATCAGCGTCTTCTTGAGTTTAGGTAACTTTAATGGAAGCCCCAAAATATGGATGTCGTAGCCTCTTTTCCGTAACATATGGTATAAGATATAGTCTTTGCTGATTAAGTTTTTACGGTCCGGATACAATTCAAACGTATTATTGATAAAGGATGAAAAATCAACCCCTAGCGCATCATCGAAAAGAAGATTATTCTTATCTAAACCATTAGAAAGGTTCTTCATTCTACTATCCTTCTTAGCTGTCTGCGCCTTTCCACGGTACAAATCTGCTATTTTGATAGGGGGTTTATTGGGGTCATACCTCAGCTCTTCACTACATGCCTGGCAAACGTACCAGCCAACATCATTTTGAATCACACATATTATGCCCACATTCTTGAGATTCAGTTCCTACAGATCCTTTGTCTGAAGAAACTTTCATATCTAGACCTAGCATTCTTATTACTTCGAACACTTCCTCTATATCCATTGTTTATTTTAGCAAGTCTTCCTTTTAAAATGCTTTTAAATTTGATTGTACCCCTTCAACATTTTAAGCATTTAAAGAAAAGGTTTCTAGTATATAGAAAGACAAAAATGAATCTAGAATCGAAAACCGTCCGACAGTTGAAAGACTACTGTCGGCAACATAATATTCGAGGATACTCGAACCTTAAAAAAGTGGAACTGATCACCCTCATTCAATATCATAACGGTCTTTCCACTTTTCCTTTCCACAATGACTGTTCAGCATGCCAAAGAAGACCAGAGTGCGTAAGATCAGGTGTTGCGAAAAGTTAATCAAGGAATCAAGCATAAATAAACACGTGCAAACTAAAGCCTCACCAAAACTATATGAAAAAGGGGGACTCTGGTTCGAAGGCGGAGAAACCAAAGAAGGCAGCCACCTCCCAGGTGGAACACAGAGATGATTTTGAATATATGCAGGCGCTGCATCACATGACCATCAGCCAACTCCGTGAATTTTGTCGAACGCATGGTATTGCGGGCTATTCCAAGCTAGGAAGGAAGGCGGACATCATAGCATACATAGAAAGCGTATTGTTTAACCGTCACTTCGCATTTGACTCCGACCTGTTTTCAGATTCACGAGAGAGAAGGCTATATACCCCCCATGAAGTTGAGGACAGCCTATGAATCTCGTTTGAAGACGTATGATATCCAAAACGAACACAATCTGATGCTTCCCAAGACTTTCTGAACGATGTTTCATCACAGGTCCGGGGTTGATGATCGCTAAACATCTGAAAAGACTGCATGGTCTCAAGGTTAATTTCCAGTTCCTCTGCGACTATCAAAAAGGGGAAGACGGAATGAGGGAAGAAATGGAGATGAACTTTAAAACAACAAATGAAGTCATCTTAGAGTCAACTGATTTGGTAGCTTATTACAGATCGGTTATCCAAAAGTTATTGACAGAAATGGAGGAGTTTGTTGCAAGGGGTTCAGGCTGGACGCTTGCCAGAATTAAAAGCCTTGAGGTGAGGATCAATAAATACAACCCACTGAGAGGCTCATCCTACATTGATTTACCGAAAAGAATTAAAGCTAAAAAAGCCGTCATAAACGTACAAAATGAGGATAATAAGTGTTTCATGTGGGCAATACTCTCTGCACTGCACCCTATGGAAAAAGATGCCCAAAGAGTCACCAAATATAAACCGTATGAGAATGAGCTAAAGTTCGAAGGCATTGAGTTCCCAGTGCAGATGGAAGACAGAGTATTTAACAGGTTCGAGAAGTTGAATGACATATCGGTGAGCATATACTCATACGAAGGTAATGACATTTACCCATTGAGAATCACTAAAAATAAGGAAGACAAACACGTCAATTTGCTGTACACAAGGAATAAAGAAGGAAACAGTCATTACTGTTGGATAAAAGACATGTCGAAATTAATAAGTGCTCAATTAACTAAACATGAGAAAAGAGTATATCCCTGTGTGAAAGGTGCCTGTTATTTTATCACTCTGAGGAGGACCTTCAAGTTCATGAGACGGATTGTAGGAAGAACACGCCAGTAAAGATTGTAATGCCTAAGGAAGACGAATCTCTGAGGTTCAAAAACTACCAAAGGTCATTGCGAGTACCCTTTGTGATGTATGGAGACTTCGAGTGCTTGACAAACAAGATAAACAGCTGTCATCCCAATGAAGACGCATCCTTCTTGCATAAGTATCAAAAGCACGAGCCTATGAGCTTCACTGTCTACATCAAGTATAAACGTGCAGACTACAAGGCACCAATCACGTACAGAGGACCCAATGCCACCAAACTTTGATACAGTGAAGGCTGAGGCGCTAGCGATAAAGAACATTTATGATAAGAAGCAACCCATTAAAATGACCACCGAAGATGAAGAGCACTTCCAAAGGACCTATGTTTGCCATATCTGTGGCGGAGACATCAGGAAGAAACCCTCCCCCTATTCACCCAAGGATGAACCAGACTTCCGAAAGGTCAGAGATCATGACCATCTTCTTGATCCGGCGAAATGTGAATCGAACTACAGAGGGCCTGCTCACAACCTTTGCAACCTAAAGTACCAAGAGCCTTCGTTCATTCCGGTGTTTATCCACAACCTCTCTGGCTACGACGCCCATCTCTTCATAAAGGAGCTCGGTGGGGAGAAAGGAGACATTGATGTCATTCCGAACAACGAGGAGAGGTACATTTCATTCAGCAAGGAGGTCGGGGCAAAGATGTTAGATGTAGGCGATGGGAAAAGAAAGTAAAGTTGCCTGGCATAAAGTTGAGGTTTGTCGACTCGTTCAAGTTCATGGCTGCTAGCCTAGACAGTCTTGCGAAGAACGTAAAGGAGTTCAGGGAGACAGCCAAGTACTTCCCCAAGGACAAGCTAGACCTCGTCACCCGAAAAAGGCGTCTATCCATACGATTACATGGACTCGTGGGACAAATGCGAAGAGACCAGCTGCCCCCACAAGAAGACTTTTACAACCAATTGAATGAGTCTCACATAAAGGATGAGGACTACGAGCACGTCAAAAGGGTATGGAGGGCCTTCAACATTAGGACATTGGGTGGATATTCCGATTTGTATGTGAAGACTGATGTACTCATCCTTGCCGACATCATAGAGCACTTTCGAGATGTCTGTCTAAAGACCTATACCTGGACCACCTGGACTCTCCTGGGATGCCATGCTCAAAACCACAGAGGTCGAGTTAGAGCTGTTGACAGACTATGACATGATACTCATGCTAGAAAAGGGGACCAGAGGAGGTGTCTCTCAGTGTTGTAACCGATATGGGAGGGCGAACAACAAGTACATGAAGGACTATGACGAGAACAAGAAGTCCAATTACCTGATGTACCTTGACGCCAACAACCTTTTACGGGTGGGCCATGAGTCAATACCTACCGCATGGTGGCTTCAAGTGGAGCACTGTGTCAGATGTGACCCCAAGTAGCGATGATGACTCAGACACAGGATACATCGTCGATTGCGACCTACAGTACCCAGCCCATCTGCACAACCTCCATTCAGACCTACCTCTAGCACCTGAGAGCAGGATGCCCGATGGCTCAAAACAACCAAAACTACTGACGACCCTCTATGACAAAGAACATTATGTGGTTCATTACAGGGTTTTGAAGCAACTGTTGCAGTTGGGGATGAAGCTCAAAAAGGTGCACAAAGTGTTGGAGTTTCAGCAGTCTCCCTGGTTGAAGAGATACATAGACCTGAACACTGAAATGAGGACCAAGGCAACCAATAACTTTGAGAAAGACTTCTTCAAACTCATGAACAACTCGGTCTTTGGCAAGACGATGGAAAATATCAGGAAGCGACTCGATATCAGACTAGTATGTGATCCCAAGAAAGCGGAGAAGCTCATTGCTAAGCCCAACTTCAAGGGGAGGACCATTTTCGACGAAAGGTTAGCCGCCGTGCATATGAACAAGACGAAAGTGATCTTTAATAAGCCAATATACGTCGGCATGAGTATATTAGATCTATCGAAGCATCTGATGTACGACTTCCATTATAATCTTATGAAGCCTAAATACGGGGACGATATCAAGCTATTGTACATGGACACTGACAGTTACATCTATGACATACAGACCGAGGACTTTTATGAGGATATGAAAGGGAATGATTGACTACTTTGATACATCTGACTATGCAGAAGGTAACAGGTATGGAATACCGCGAGTCAATAAAAAGGTATTGGGGAAGATGAAGGATGAAAATGCAGGGAAGATCTTGGAAGAGTTTCGTTGGCTTAAGATCTAAGATGTATGCTTGTAAAACTGAAAAAGAGCTAAGTTAAAAAGTCAAAAGGGTGTTAAGAAATGTGTAGTGAAAAATAGGATATCTTTCGGGGACTATAAAAAGCTGTTTGTTCTCACAGGAAGTGTACAGTACAGGACCATGAATCTCATCAGGAGCACAAAGCATGAGATTCATTCCATACAAGGTGAATAAGATTGCCCTATCAGGAAAAGATGACAAGCGACACATATTGGAGGATGGTGTTCATACTTTGGCCTTAGGACATTATGCAATAAAAAAATAAACAAATGTAAACTATGGGTGGCATATATTATACATTTTTTTAATAGTTTTCGAACTATTAAAAGAAAAAGGGGGTGCTCGCCGAATGGGATACCCTTCCGTGTCAGCGACTTTTGCATGTTCGTCCTAAGAGTGGGTTCAGTTTTTTTATGGGTGATTTGAGAGCCATTGTTTTCTAAAAGTGGGTTCGATTTTAATGGAGGGTTGGAGAGCCATTGTTTTCTAAAAGTGGGTTCGATTTTAATGGAGGGTTGGAGAGCCATTGTTTTCTAAAAGTGGGTTCGATTTTAATGGAGGGTTGGAGAGCCATTGTTTTCTAAAAGTTGGTGCGATTTTAATGGAGGGTTGGAGAGCCATTGTTTTCTAAAAGTGGGTTCGATTTTAATGGAGGGTTGGAGAGCCATTGTTTTCTAAAAGTGGGTTCGATTTTAATGGAGGGTTGGAGAGCCATTGTTTTCTAAAAGTGGGTGCGGTTTTAATGGGGGCTTTGAGAGCCATTGTTTTCTAAAAGTGGGTGCGGTTTTAATGGGGGCTTTGAGAGCCATTGTTTTAAAAAATTATATGGGTGAAACAGAGCCATTACATTTCTAAAAGTGGGTGGGATTTTTATGGGAGGGGGTAAATGGCTCTGCGCCAGCTCCGGCATATATACACTACTCATGATAATAATTGCATTGCTTGGAGCTTTCTGTAAAGAATTTTTTTTTTAATAAATAGAAAAATGATATAAAATTAAAATGACTTACGTTAAAAATAAGAGAATTATTTTCTTAAATTTTTTTAAAAAATTTTTTTTGAAATTTTTATTTGCGTAACTCCCAAATTGATTATTTTTCACCATAATTAAAGATAATTTCTAAAATTTTTAGGCGAGAGGCTGAAGAAAAAAAATAGTTGCTGATTTTAAACTCTTTAGGGTTTATACATTTGGTCAGATAGTTTTGAAATTCTGCCCAATGGCTTCGGAGAAATCGTGCACGCAAGCAAGAAAATTGCGTTGAAGAATCATATTTTCAGAGTAAAATGCTAATTTAAAAGCAAAACCAGAAAGCTCTTTCCCTCCCGTCTTCCCTAAAAACCTCGAAACACAAACAATTAATAATTAAATATATCACTTTTAAAATAAAATGCCCAAAAATTAACTGAACGCGGCAAGAGTTTAGGCAAATAGCACGCGATCGTTATTTACCTAAGCGTGCAGATGCTTTTGTAGGGGTTTCCTAAGCGAAATTACTCATATGCGTATTACCACATAGACAAAAAACACTGTTTTCGTGGAGGTTCTCCGTTTTATCACTAAGCACGTTATTTCAGACTAACTTTGTTCACACGTGGTTTTAAGTATAATATATCAAGCACCGTAATAATATATGAAATTACTTGACTCAATATAACATGAAAGTACAACCTTTTTCCTTTATTAATATTATTTACATTATCAATTATATGCAGTTTTTCAAATCGTTTTGAGTTACAAAATGGGTACTTTTCGGTTAGCCGGGCGCAAAAGGAAAGTCGCCAAATAATTTCGACCTGCGACAACTTGCGTACAAACCTGACAGGAATTATTTACCGCCATTTCCAGAATTCATTTAAGATAAGCAGCATCTATTTTTACTCTTACGCAAATCTGGTATTATAAAATGCTGAAATTTTGAGACTTAACACAAAGTAAAAAGGAGGACGCTCATTTTTTTTTTTTTTTTTTTTTTTTTTCAAAAAATCAAAAAAAAAAAAAAAGAAAGAAAGAAAAGAAAGAAAGAAAAAAAAAGGGGGGGGATATTGGCAAAAAATTCAACATGTAAACAGAATCATGAAACAAAACTTCATACTTTCTGAAGAAGCTAGATGGTGATACAATGTTTCTACCTGCCGCAGCAAGAAAAGCGAAATCGAAAATATAAAAATATCTTCTTTGTAGATTCATGAAAATAAATACTTTTTGTTGTTATTTTACATTAATGAACGTTTTCAACTTTGTTTTGGGTAACGGTCATTTTGTTCGGGTCAATCGTGAAAGTGGTCCTAAAATATCGTCAAAAAATAAATAAATAAATAAAATACTTTTGGCGGGGGGGGGGACTAACGGTCAGTCACAACAACATGCAGTTTTTCATTTTCATATTTTAAATCATTCATTCTTTATTTTCATCATTTAATTCAGTAACAAAAACAACCGAGTGATTAAATCTATTGAACATTGGCGACATAAACGTATTTGAATGGTTATGGATGTTTTCGTGGTTTTTCCCATTTTATTTACCGTAAGTACCAATAAAATTCTTTTCAAAAAGTCCTCCGTAAAGGTGTTCTTTCCCTTAGGGGGCCCACCAGCCGCCGAGCGGTAAAGTGGCTAAACACTGGTAGTTCGGTCGGAGGTTCGAATCCCGCGAACGGGCTGGCTGCGTGCGCGTTTTCGTGGTCTTCCCTATCTGTAACGTGCACACGAGTCAGTTTCCCTTAAAAAGTCCTCCACGAAGGCATCCTCCCCCTTAAGCAGATAACCTTCGCGGCTTTGCCGTAATCACATAAACAAAAAAACATATAAATTAGCTATTTTTACCGAAATATAATTTATGATTTACGTGATTACGGGAAAGCCTCGAGGGCTATCTGCCTAAGGAAAGGGATGCCTTTGAAGGACTTTCTTTTTGTCTGTCCCGACATACTAGGAATAAAAGGGTAAATAGAAGAGAATTTCAATAAAGTGCAATAATTGTGGACACCATAATTACTAAACAATTATGGGAAATTCAGGAGTTGTTGTAACGCAAACGGAGGAAGTTAACTTTTTTTCTTTCATTTTGTTTTCCTTCAACAAAGGTTTATAAAGTTAAAATACTTTTCTAAAAAAAATATAAACCAATCTTTTATAAATTACTCAAAAGCTAAGATGAATTCATTATTTGAGTAATATTAATCTCTGACGTTTGGTTTGATTACGGCACAGCCTTGTGGGCTAGAGATGTCTTCATGGAGGACTTTCTAAGGGACACTGACTCGTAAACACGTTACGCATAGGGAAACATGCAGCCAGTCGTTCGCGGAGTTCGAACCTCGTTACCAAACTACCAGTGTTCAGCGAATTTACCTGCTGGGAGGCCAATGCATTAAGACTTCCCTTTTAGTTTTAATGCGCAATCAATTTCTGTTTCGATTAAAGCAAAATACACCCTAAAAGTGAAATATAATTCATTCTTCAATTTTGAGTGTTAAGTTCCAAAAAAAAATTTTTTTTTTTTTTTTTAATAAAAGAAACGCATAAGCTACTTCTATTGAAACAAAATTAAGCTAACGCATTTCTTTAATTGCATAAAATAATCATCTGAAAGTAAATATGTAAACTGACGCCATAATGAAAATAATATATCCTTTTTATTGTACTTAAGTTAATGAAGAATTTAAAACATGTCAAAAAAAGAATTAGTTTTTCACTTTTCAAAAATCGGTTAAAGTAACTTTTGCTTTTTACTCTTGTGAATAAAAATAATACATAAATATTTAACTATTATTTTAAAACGTTACTTTTTTTTTCGTTTAATATTTTACACTAATGTTTTGTATAGTATCTGTTTTAAATTGCGTAAATTTGCTCATACTTTGCGAATTTTTACTTCACTGTTATTATGGCAATAATTTGACCTTTTTTTTTTTTTTTTTTTCCGGTAGTCTAATGTGTCTAAATACATGCAGTATAATTAAATATATATATATATGGTTCGTTCTGAAGATTAAAAAAACTGACAGAACTCATGAATATTGCTTGTTTACTTCGTTATATTCTTCGAATTGTATACAGTTAGCCACAAAAGTCTGCGTACAGACTAAATTTTAAATTAAAAAAAAACAAAGCATAGAAAAATGTATTTTAATCATTGCATTTTTTTCTTCTATTAGCTAAAATTGTAAGCTTAAATAAAAAGTAAATAATATCAGTGTAATACTTTTTACGTTTTTTCAAAAAATATATTTTGTCAAAAAAAACTCAGAAATTCCCTCCAATCAATCTGCGTACACTTTTTCCAAAAAAAAAAAATTAAAATATAAGTTTTTTACATTACTTCAATACTTTGTAGGATATCCTTTATTCTTCAAAACAGCTTGCAGACGTCTGGGCATTGACTGAACTAGTTTTTCAGTGTCATCCGACGTAAATTTCGCCCATTCTTCCTGCAATTTACTAATTAGCTAATTTCGCGACGTAATATGTTTTCGAATTCGTTTCTCCAAATTTTGCCCACAAATAATCGATTGGATTGAGGTCTGGTGACTGTGGAGGAGTGTGATAGTGTGTCTTGGAGTGTGATAGAGGAGATATTCCTTCACACTTTTAGCTGTATGTTTCGGATCGTTGTCTGTTCTTATTATTATAAAAACAAGCGTAAGTGAATGAACTTTATTTTGTTCTTGGGTATCCAATAGCTTCCTTGATGCTGAACTTTTGACATCAATTTAGTCAAGTGTGGCTTATAGTTAGTCGTCTTAAGCCGAATACAAGCATCTGAATTTTCGGTAGTTAAGCTGTTTCTGTTTTTACTTGAAATAAATTTCATGAGTAAAAATATTTGCTTGTATATTTATAAGTTGAACCAAATGCGGACAAAATGGCAATGGCAAAGATACAGATGGCAAAGATTACAGATTTGCGTTGCCAAATTCATCGCTTTCTCCCTGAAATTATATTACAATTTTTAAAAGTGCATATTTGTTACAGCAATTCCGTAATCAAACAAAAATGTTATTATTCTTTTATGGTTTATTTTTGTAACGTATTTTTCAAGTGCTCGTTTTATATTTATGTTTTATAGCTTATTTTTATATAATGTACTTTATTTTCGGAACTCAAAATGATAACTTGAAATTATGAAATGTGACACTAGGTTACTGTTTTGGTTTGGGTTTATTTAATTACGGCAAAGCACACTAGGGCTATGTGCCTAAGGGGAGGACTTTCTAAGGGAAACTGGCTAGTATACACATTACACAAGGGGGAAAACCACGAAAACGCCCATGCAGCCAGCTCGTTCGTGGGATTCGAACCTCGGACCGAACTACCACTGTTCAGCGACTTTACCCCTCGCGCGCTGGTGGGCTCCATAGGTTACTGAGGCCTGTTCTAGATGCATAGGTCCTAGGCACTAAGACGCTCAGGATAATTTCTATGCTGGGGGATACTGACAAAATATTTCCTTTGTTTTTCAGAGATACGTATGTATTCTGGATATCTACATCTTCATCATTTTGTTATATATGCACATTTTAATAAATTTAACATTCACACTGGGGTACTCTCTCGTGAGTGATGACATTCCAAAATTGATCTTTCGAAATTACAATTATAGATGAATATCACTAATTCAGATTTTATATTACGACTAAAGAAACTTTTTTTCAACGTTTCATTGTGTTACCTTTATTAATTAAATATACTGTTCTTCGCAATTAAACCATAAAATTCAGTTCAACAGAAAAAAAAAAAAATCGTTAAAGTTTTACATAATATGAAATAGATAATAAAACAAATTCCAAATTTGGGCTTCCAGATGTCCTTATTAGGGTGGAGGACATCGTTATTCAAAATTTGATGTCTCTAGGTACCGTCGTTTTTCCGCAATGCGAGAAACATATATATATTCATGCATTTTTTATTTTCTTTAAGTATAATGTAGGGTTCTGATATTTGGTGGCAAAAATTTGAAAAATGAAACGCTGTTATAGGGAAACGCCTCAAAATGCCTGGGCTAATAAAACGTATAGGAATTTTCCAGCTATCCATTCAATTTAGATTTTCTAAGTGGCATAATTTACTATTTAAGTCTTCAAATATTTTTCACACTCGAATATAATATTTGTATATTTCTTTCCATTACAACACCTTAAGATTAAGGGAACATTATCTACCATCGGAAAGATTGTAAGAATTGGATGTTCCCTTCAGCCCACCTGCACACGAGTGTCCCCATAGCTCAAAAGAAGGATCTATCACACGCCTGAATGGCGAGAACTAAGAAAAAATCTTTGCCAATTCAGCAGTATAATCCAATCACACTACGTCAGTTTGACGTTATTACTTATTTTACACGTGTCTGCTTGGCAACAAATTCAAACCTCAGCTAGCAGTTCTTTTTTTTATAAACGCCGGGATGGCTTACACATATCAATTATCAACATAAAATTTCAATACAAATAAAAGTAAAGCATAAATTAATAATTTTAAAATACTTCTTTACCACAAATATCAATTATAAATTTAAGCTGAATATTTTTAGTGTCAGTTATTTTAAACAAAATCTTACACGATAAACTATAATTCTGAAAACAAAGTATTAAAATTCAATAAAATATTTTTTAAGAAAACCAAAAGTTAATCTTATCTTCAGAGATCAGCAGTATCCTATTTTTGACAAGTTTTTGCTCGGACGCAAGTTTACAGAAGCACAGAAGATAACCTTTGAATGATCCGCTTCAAATCTGGCTTTAAAACGGCAGACTTCTTACATCCATTTCTCCTTGAAATAAACAAACTTCGGCAATTGGTATTAGCAAACTTGTTCTAAAAAATTCAGCAAATTTCTGGGATTAGGAGACCAGCACCATCGAAATTGATAATTGCACTCCTAATTTCCAGTATCTCGGTGGAGCCTTCAATTTGTATTAAGATCTCCAATATATTTTGCCAGTAAACTCAGCAAAAATAAGCAAGATATCTAACACAAATTACAAACCAACAACAAACAACAACAACAAAAAAAAAAAAAAAAAATCCATAAATACAAATTCACAACATAGAACACCACAGATATCTAAAACCCATATAAATACAAAATTCAATTTTAACAGAAGATTCAACCATCGGAAAGATATACAATCACACCCAATTGTTCACTTTTAGGTATAATTTAAAATCTGACTGCAATGAAATTTAATTTCTAATGGAATTTGTATTTTACCGCACTTTATGTAACTTATAATGCATATGTAAAATAAAGAGGAAAAAATGATCGCATGATGGATAACTACACTATCATACTGCAACCTTGTTAGTAAAATAATGTAAAAGATTTTTATTCACGTCAAACGTGGATGAAGATAAGAATGCAACACATTTGTTATTATCCGCAACCTAGTATGCGGTACACACGGGATTTTTGACGACATTATGATGAGCAGTAAACGAGTCATTTTGGAGTTGGCGACAATTTCCAAAATCGCGCCAAGGCAGTTTACTAGGATTTTACCAAATTTGATCACAAGGGCTGTGGTCCTTAAGGTCCTCAACTAAGACCACCAAAATAATTCTATAACTTATCACAATGCATTTTTTCTGTCATGAAGACAAGGTTTGATTCAAAGTGTTCGATTATTGTTTGATTCCCCGGTATGCCTTCGTGGAGGACTTTGTAACTGAAACTAGCTCGTATGCATAACCACGAAAATGCCGATGCAGCTAGTCATTTCGCACTGGTCCAGCTACCATTTGAACTAGTGTCGAACTACCAGTGTTCAGAGACATCACCACTCGACCAGTTATGGAAACGCAGAAAGTGGGTTATTGGACTCCAAGAAACAATCCTAGGACTGTAGATTCTACTAATCAGGCTCTGTAGTAGGCAAGTGCAGATGAAGTTGAGAATTCAATAAAATCTTTTTCCTTATTCTAAATTAAGTATTATCACCAAGTAGTTTCGAACGTCCCAAGGGACATCAGGTTTTATTATTATTATTATATTATTATTATTATTATTATTATTATTATACAAAAAAGCATATTGTGCACCAGAAGAGCAATTTTTGAAATGGTATATTTAAAAAAAATATTATAATAATTTCTTTTTTAAATTTACAATTAAAATGACTCGATCTCGTTTTTAATTGTAAATTTAAAAGAAAGAAGAAGCAAGAATTTGACATTACAGTATCTACGCAATATACCATTGCTTTGTTAGGATGAAAAAAAAATTTGAAAAGAATCACGTTTCTTTTTTATCTCATTTTCCATTTCGCAATTTTTATGTAGTAGATTTTTACTACTCATTCAAGTGGATTGAAACGGAAAGTAAATCGTATTGGAAACTGCTTTGTATAAGAAATTCTTACGACTTCGATAAACAGAGCACAAGCATATATTCCTTTAATAAATCTGCAATCAAAATAAATGGTTCCCTTATAATGTCCTCCGCGAAGGCATCCCTCCCATTAAGCAGACAGCTTTCGAGTGTTTTGCGGTAATTAAATAAACCAGACCGAACCTCTAACTCCCAGCTTCTATTTTTAAATCACTACAGTAATTTAATTTTAATTGCTTCAGCTGTCACTAGAATGACTATAATTCTTATATATAAAAATGCATGAAACAAATATAACAATGTAAAGTAAATTTTAACTATCAAATATTTACTTACCCCAAAACAGAACGCATATAGTTCTTTTCCAGATCAAAAACAGGTTCAACGGTTAACTTAGATTATGAGCTGATTCCGGCCAATAGATTTGGAACTGCTCACTGTATGAGATACAGCTTCTTGCACAGTAATCTGTAACTGTAACCGATAATTTCTCTTTTCGTTATGAGGAATGATCCAGAAAACTAACAACGTGTCACAGTTACGTACGTAGTAACTCCAATCTGGCTTTCTATTGCAGTATTTACATGTTTGCCGTTATAATTGCCGTGGTACTGGTATTCCAAGATAACGCTATCTTCTCTTTACAGACGCCAGGAGCTAAATTGAAAGCATTTCCGTCACTTTTACAGATTGCATTTCTGCATGGTATCTCTGTCCGTAAACTGACAGCAGAGATAACGAGGCATGACAGCTATATGCGAATAATTCGTTTCGTCTAACTAACGGGGTGGTGAAATACCGCTGCGAAGCCGCGTGAATCCTGTGTTTGGTCAGATGTTTTACTGTTTGAGAAAGATGTTCGCCGAAGAGGCGAAAAAAAGGAAAAGGGGGAAAAAGTCGCTGGCTTTTCTATTCAGTGTGCTATTCAGTGGCAGGGAGTTTCGAAGTCGTGACATAAGCCAAATGGGAAGAAAATTGCTCTGGCCAGTTTAAATAATACAATGAGACTTTTTACGATTCCCTTTTCCTTCCCGAAAGGATATTTCGACTTGATCTGAATAGGTTCCATTGTTTTTTTTGCAAAAGATATGATTGTTGAATACGATAAAAAAAATTTTTTTTTATTAATGTTTTCTGTTTTTTTTTTTTTTTTTTTTTTTTTTTTTATTGAATATTATCCACTTAATAAAAGTCGTTTTCCGTATTCTTTATGCTGCGCAATTTTCTGGTTTTATGAGGCTGTTTCAGAAAGGCGCATAGGAGCCCACAAGTGGGCAGAGAAAATATTCCTGAATAGCTGGATACGGTACTCCAACTCGGATTCATTTCCGAGAAAAAAAGCTGACTATGTGGCATTTCTGTGATTTCCTCCATGTAGGTAACATAAATACGACACAGTTTCCGCAGAAAGTCCGCCAACAAAGCATCTAGATGTTTGGAGGTGATGATACGCCCAAAGAACTTTTCAACTTATTTTCATTTTACCTTAACACCTTCGGAGGAGGAAATGTTCCCCTAAATTCCTCTGCTGTCTGTTATCAAGACTATATGAGACAGAGAAAGACATAAGAGTATTCTCAATACGCCTTTCGGTACTTAAGTATTAACCGGCGACGGTTAATGAAAATTTCCGCAACGGTCGCCAATGGACAATCAATGCTGCGGAATTCTAAAGCGCACATACATGTAAAGGAGTCAGTTTCCTTTAGATAGTTTCCTTTGGATAGAATTTTCGTTTGGCTGGCGTCGAGCTTTGTCACTCATAGGCAGGGTAGCCGACAAAGCTAACAGATAAGCTCTACTGAGTGTATGAAGTCGCGGATCACCCTGCAACATTGTAAAGCTTGATCGCTTGCTGCTGGCTGAACGGAAAAGACAACAAATTCGGCCCCGGGCTCAACGTGTTAAAAGCAGATAGCTCTCGAGTGTTTCGCCGAAATTAACTAAACAACAACAACAACAAAAAAATTTTTTTTTGAATACAATAAAATGCATAGCTTAAAAAATTTGAAAGGTTTCAGATTATAAATTACGTTCAAAGGGGCGTTTTTTTTTTAACGTTTCGTGTGTTACCTTTATTTATTAAATAACATGTTCTTTATCATAAAATTCAGTTCAACAGCAATGTCGCAAAATAATTTTAAATTGAGACTATATTTAGAATTTCCGATACATAGTTGCATGCGCTGGAGCTTTTTTTTTTTTTGTGTGTGTGTGTGTGTTTTTTTTGTTGTTTGTTTGTTTGTGTTTTGGTACAACGTTGCAATTGCTCGCTTTGAAATCCTCGAGTTTGTTAATCAAAAATTCGTTATAGTTTTACAAAATAGGAAACCGATAATAAAACAAGCAGCAGGAATATTTCTTTACATTTAAAACTTAGCAGAATAGTGAATTAAGTCAATTTCTGCACCTTCAGTGTCTTTTTGCCTAGTGAGATCAAAAGCAAACTTTCAGTTTCGTGCATCGAAAAATCTGTTCTCTTACCCGCTGGCTGAATTGCTTGTTTTGAGTAGAAACTCGAATTTTAGTTGCAATTTTTTTTTTTTTTTTAGTTGTTTTAACTGTATTTGGTGTTTTATATTTTTCAATTTTAAATTACGATATTTTGATGTTTTATGTATTTTTGCCTTGCCGCGAAGCAAGAATTGAATTAATGAAATAAGAAATCTATCTGTAATGAAATTCGAGGAAATAACTTTAAACTGAATGTAGGGGAAAATGCGCGTAACTTAATATTTCGTACAAAGAAGTCATGTGATGTATACAGCAGATTTTTTAAATAGTATGCCGAAGACAAAAATCTCAATCTAGCTGAATAAACTAATTACTTTTAATCTTACTTAAGGAAGGGAATTACTTTTAATATTTCTTAAGGAAGGGAATTACTTATAAATCCATATATTTTAAGTTAATTTGTCTGAATTTTTTTTTAAATCAAAATTACAAAAAATATTTTTAGTCTTTTTAATATACGTTTATTTAGTTTTGAAACTTGTTCAAATCTAATTCAGAAGTCAAACAACAAAAATCAGCGTTATATTTACAAAAATTTTCACAGGACTAGTTTCTATGGTTTTACGAACCAACCATCCTCAGCTGCAAAACCCAAATGAAAAAGATAGGAAATAATGAGTAGATAGATAGAAAGCCTGGACAAGAATAAGCAAGTGGCGCCATCTTGAAAAAAGGAAACACAGAAGTCTTCTGTTGCTCAACATTGTTGGTCCGAAAATCACACTGTCAAATTTTCTGCTGCCAAAATTATTCAAAAAACATCTTCTACTGGAGAACTGGATTTTCTAGATGCATTTCACATTCATAAAAATCTTTCTGTTCTAGTTAACGATCCTAATTCCAATCCAAATTTGCCTTCAGCCTTTAAAGAAATTATGTTTTAGTTCTGGTTTCACCAACAGATGGCGCCACTTGCTTATTGAAAGTTTTCAGATTTTATTTTCTGTTATTTTTTATTTTTTCAAAGGTAAATATCTTCTAATATTATTCATCTACTTGAACAACATTTGAAAATACTGCTGTTTAAAGAAAGAAAAGAATAAAAAAGGAATTAAAATTTGTTTTCCTAGTTTAGAGAGGAAAATGGAATTATGTAGAAAAATTCATCATATAAATAATTCCCTTTTGCACTTTATATAAACTAATACAGCTAATTTACAGAATATCTTAACGTACAGGTCAAACAGTGCATATTTCAAATTTTTGTATATAGTTTTCGACAATAATGTTATTACATTTAAATACATTTTGCATAAAATATTTTAATTTTCATTTTCAACTTTTATTTCCATTGAAACCAATTAAGAAAAATAGCTTACATTAGTAATTACGGAAAAAAAACGTTAAATTTTTATTTGCACTGCAGTTTCTAACTTAAAACATAAAAATCAATGTCTTATTGGTAAAACTATATCAGTTAAGTTTATAAATAACCTTCAATCCCTAAATAACCGTTAAGTTTCCAGTTTCAGAAATTCTTTCCTGGAGCCCCGCCAACGTCAACGACAGGCTGCTGATTAAAAAACTGCAGAAATTCCCTCAGATATATTTTCACACATTTTTGTGCCTCATATTTTTATTTGACAAGTTCTCCAGAATTTTTAGAAACTTTTAAAACATGCGTTTTCTCTTTCTATCGTTAGTAATTTTTAGAAAAGTCTTTTTATAGAAAACACAAATTTTTATCCACATTACATCAAGGAAAAGAGAAACCTGAAAATCATTTCATGCGCATATCTATTCTAAAAATAAACAGATACATCAAAGTTTATCATTCTACATACAATGTATAGAAATGACAGTACTTGTGTATTAGCCAGTACCAGCCGCTATATCGCGACGTTTGCACATGAAATGGAACAGTTACAGCACTTTCCATTCATAGTTCCTGATTCTAACTCCATTTTGAAGTTTGTCAATAAAAACATCCATTAGTGAGAGACGTTGAACGCTCCATAAAGATCTCTTTGTTTTCCCTTCAATTTTCTAACTCTAGAACGGGGCTTCTGAATATGATTAACGCGTTCGTATTTGGTGACACTACTTAAATATAAATATTGTTAGGAAATGTACAGGTGCGGTGAGATGGCTTCCCCGCAAAGCAGTTTTTAGGGTTGCCATAAAAACGGCGAGTTAGGCAGGGTTGCCATATTTGGCGAGAAATCCGCCATTTGGTGACAAAATTGGCGATATACCATGGACGGATGGAGAACCTTCTGGAACGAATTCTTACCGGTTTAGCCCAGAATGTTCTCGAACACAAGCCGAAAGCTATATAAACCCTGCTGGTCCGCAGTCAGTTAGTCTGTGTGTCTCAGAGATTGTGCCTCGTCTAGCGAGCTGTGCGGAGTCGATCGAGTTGACAGCCGGGCAACGAGTGCCGAGTGGGTCGTCGAGCGCACCGAAGGAGTCTCGCAGAGTATCGCGGTTAGTGCATCGTCGAGAGAGCGTGTTGAGCTCCGGCAACGACTGAACCGAAGAGTAGAAAGCTGTGCTCGTGTGTCGTCGAGTGCATCGGGAGTTGTAGCGTGGAGAGTCTCGAGAGTACGTGGAGTTCCGAGAACGACCGAGCAGAGTCGGGAGCTGTACTCTGGTGCTTTCCAGGAAGCTGTCTCCACCGTTATTGCCTGACAGTGTGAAGGCTGTGTTGCTGATAGTTCCAGCGTGTTTATAGTAGTTCATCGACGACTGAAAACGTGTTTTGGAGCTGTCCTGACAATACTGACTAATAAAGTGTGTTTCGATACTTCATCAATTGTCGTCATTATTCACTCCAAATCTACGAACCCCGTACGAACGTGAAGGTAGGATATAACGTAACAACTGGTATCAAGAAGAGAATAATGTAACTATATCTTTTACGTCACAAATCACTTTCAAAAACATATCCTGCTGATGAGAAACATTTTAGTTTTATTTCACTCGATGGAAATTGCTTTATTGATATTATTCTCTGTGTCCTTTGCAACACGTTTCATAAATTTGTTCCTTACGCATTTTCGTTTACAAACACGAAATTTTTTTTATCACGCTTTATTATACTTTTAACTCGAATGTTATTAAAAATAATCAAAGATAAATCCAATTGCAGTATGCAATGCGTCGAATCAAATCAAACTCATATGCTAGCGAGGACATGCCGCTTTCAACAGGTAATTAATAAAAATATTGCATTTTATTGGAAATAATTTCGTGTTGCTGCACAGATTACAGATAAGATTCTATTAATTCCCGCTCATTAAACGTCTTTACATTACATTTCAAAGATAACAAGGTACAAATCTGATATACGCCCTAATTTCACCAAATGTGGCGATATGTGTTCTGCGCTGGTTTTTGGCGCGATT